ATATAATACTATTCAAGTTATATTTGAGAACACTTTTATGACCTAACTGCTAAAAGAGGGGATGGCAAAGAATTAAGCATGCTAGACTGTTTTCTGAAAGAAAGTATTCCACAAAGCCATGAAATGTGAATGATTTTCAACTGCCCAGAAGTCATATTAGATTAATACGCTGCAAGAGTTACTACAAAGTTATTTATATTGCTTTATTGTGTGTTAAAATGTTCTTATCCTTAAGTGAATAATTATACTGTACTGATTCTCTTTTGTGGTTTACTGCTTTCCAAATATTTATTTTACTAAAAAAAATATTTAATATGGTTATTTAAAACACCAAATATTTCTCCCTTAATCGTACCAATGTAGAGGATTTTATGTATTTGCAATGGTTTCATGTTATTTTACTGAGAATTTCTCATGCTTTCTTTGGACAACCATCTGCAGGCTGTGCATACTTGGTTCTGTGGTAACTAAATTTGTTTTCTGAAAGGCTGACATTAAAATGGTTTTGTAGATTTTTGTACATAATTTCTATATAAATACTAGCTGCAGTCTGGTTTGATGGTGCATATACCAGAAAATTAACTTTCAGTGCACTTAACAATGATCAGAAGTAGATTATGTACTAAATGTAGCACCATTTCTGCAGTTGATGTTGCTGGTGATAACCCTTCTTGCATTTTTCTCTTTTACATATCATGTGGATTTTATGAGATTGCACATTTGTTTAAGATACTTTTCTAAATATCCATTACCTTTTTTTAACAAGTGCAGTTAGGGTTAGACAAATCTTCACTTGAGGAACATTCCATGTTGCTAGTTTGCTATCCTAACAACCTTTGTCAACCCAGATATTTTTGCAGGTATAGTAACATAACATGAAAGACTACATGATTTGAGTATATTACTGTCAGGACATACAATATAATACACCTTTGAAAGTAACATAAGCTTGAAACTACTTTTTATGACTCTCAATATGGATGCGATTAAGTTAAACTTTTAAACATAAAAATAATCTAAAACATCCAAAACACAATAGTCAATTTTTAGGATAGCCCCACTATAGACAGTACACCTTATCTATGAACAGTGATATAAACTGATACCACAGTTAGCTGAAGTTAGATTAAATTGAAATTTAAGACCCATGCATCCATACAAATTCCTAAATATTCTATTAATAAGAAGAACCTTTTACACAGGCTACAGGTTTCTGTAGTGTCATGTACTACATGTATAGTATTGACCTAAAAGAAATTCAAAGGAGCTACTAAAGCAAAGAGTTTCAGAGTGATCCATTTTTTCACGTTTCTGCAGAAACTAAAAAAGTGACTCCTGAGACAGAAACACTTACCAGTCCTGTACTGTAATTGTTCCCGGCTTTAGACCAGCTTTATTGAGTAGTTCACTGAAGGCGATGGAGGTGGGGAAGTGCACATTCTGACAGCGTAATTCTAAGATGATTTATGATAAACTCTCCTAATTCTGCCCAAATGAATCTAAGGTGATTTTGCACAAGAATATTGTTGAAGCACTGACCTCTCTTCAATTACAGTCCTTCTTTTGATATTTATTCTCATAAGATTTAGATGGGAAATTTATGCTAATTAAAGGGCAACAGGATTCATTGCTTCTGGAGATTTCCTTTAAAGATTGGCCACGCTGCTAGGCACAGACCAGATGTCCTCCTTGCTTGACCCAGACTTAAGTCAACGTATGCACTGTTTTGCAACAATTAAAGAGCTTGTTACTGTAAGTATTTTTAAAATGATTCCTAGGGGGTTAAATGGAAGAAAGGTCCTTTCACTGTCATTTTTTTATTTCAGAGGCCAGGGTTAACATCTGAAAAGGATTTAAGCATCTTGTACGTCTAAATGAATCTATAATGGAAATCGCATGTTCTGTATGAAAAACTTTGGACAACTGTGTAAACAGCCTGATGGGTTGTCCTCATAACACACCATGGATGCTCAATCCTTATGCCGGCGTCATACTACACCATTTTTCCTAGGATTTTCAGTTGTAGCCTATATTTACATAATCATAAGAAAATCACAGCGAGTTGTAGAGAGTCGCAGCGCGTGCCTGTTACCATCAGTTGTGTAGTGTGACACCTCCAGTGACTCAGTCAAAGTGCTCTTAACAGCCCCTACAACTCTCTGCGACTCGCTACGATAAAATCAAACTGGTTTGATTTTCTCGTAGTGAGTCGCAAGTCGCAGGGGTGGGCTCTTGTGTCTATGACCGTCACAGCCAATGAGCGCTCATCCGAAGTACAATGCATACAATACCCACAAACAGTGAAGAACAACGTAGCTGCAAGGAAAGAAGGAAAAAGAGTGTTTTGGACTGTGCAATTGGAGGAGAGGCTGGTCGAACTTCAGAGCCAGCAAATGTTCAATGTTACTTGTTTGTCGTTTGCTTACTTTCATGCGGTGCTCCTCCTTTTATTCCAGTATACTCCACGTTGATTGGCTGCCAAAATGAGGCAACCTCACGGTACTTTCACGGATTTGGAACCATAATGAAAAGTCGGGAGGAAATTGTGTAATTAGTCACCCCCTGCGATTCCTAGTCATATAATTTGACACCCTCTAGGACAGAAAAGGCAGAGAGATTCAGCAACTGCAGTCGTTAAATTTGACATGCTCTCCAACTAGAAGTCATGTTGAGTCATGTAGTGATGCCGGCTTAACTTTCAGATGGTTTGGACAAAGCTTTTCTGTTCTTATGGCATGTTTAATGTACTTATAGTGACAGCCCGATACATAGAAGACACAAAAAATTAAAAATTACAGTTTCGACCAATGTCTTGAGTTAGAACACAAAAAAGCTTTACTCAAGGATTTTTTTCTAAAATATCACTTTATTATAGTTTTATAATAAAGGAATTATATTATAGAATTATATATATTAAAGGAAAAAATAACTACATGTACTGTATAGATAATGCATACTTTTTTTTAGTATAGGAATTAATGTTAATGCATTAGTTTGACCTTATTGTACCAACATTATTATATTTATACTTAATGCTAATTTTCTTAATTGTAAGTTGCCCAGTAACAGGTGTCTGTTAAGCAACTACATAATACATTTTTCTTGTTGGTTGCTGATGTAATTGCAAAATTCAAGGGAATAAAGTTCATAAGAATCAATAACCCAAAAAGTTGTAGAAAGGTTACTTCTTCCTACATGTCAAACATTTCCTAAATATCTGATAGGAATATTCCAGAATGTTTTACAAGTGATGCAAACTGTATCAAGAGCAAAAATGTTATGCATAAAATTGTATGTCATACTGTTGATGACCAAGATGTCAGTGTGGAAATGCCTGCTTGAATGTTGCAGACCTTGCAAAGTAATATTCGACTATTTCTACATTAATATTAGATTTTCACTTTTTTAAAGAAAGGGGTTAATAAAAAACAACGTAAATAATCAGCCTATGACCCATTTTTTGTCCTTTTCTTTGAACATTTTTACTCACTGTTTGTCTTTAATTAACTCAACACTAGCTCCCATGCTGACACAGCACCTGAAGCAATCTCAAACTTTTTTTTTTAATTTGCTGGAAGCCCAAAAGAGACTTTGGCAGGTTTTTCTGAGGGATAGGTTACTGTAGGGCAGAGTCTTAAAGAATTTCTGCTGTGTAAAAACAATGTGAGCAATTTCCCCACAGGCCGTTCAAAAATACAGGAAAACAGGCTGTGAAATTGGGATGTCCAACACGCAATTACTGAGGTATTATTTGAAAACCTTTCCACTTGTATTTTCTAAATTACTCCTGTTTTGAAAAAAGGGAATGTATACATTCTTTTTTTATTATTTCTTCCTTCTTTGCTCAAAGCAAAATTATGCTATTTTAATTAAGGTCTCTGTAAATAACATGTTGCACAAGCCTTATGAAACTGGCCAAGACTTGTATGCCAAAGATGATGTCATAAAAGAATAAATAAGAAAAAACAAACATGTTTTTCTAGGAAATGATTTACATATCAAGAAATCAAAATCTGGCAGTACTTAAAGACTTCATGTTACAACTGGAGATTTCCCCGTTTTAATTTTAGCTCAAAGCCCACAAATCTATTTAAGAGTTTGAATGTGCTTGTAAGCTAAATTCCTTTCGATTTGATGTAAATTATTTTGAGGTCCCTGAACACCCCGCACAAATAAATGTGCTACAGTGCCTGGTTTCAGAGGCCTTTACATCTGGGAAGACTAACACAGAAACATGTCTTGAAAGTTATAAAAAATAAAAGTGAGAAAGAATCTCAAGGTGCCTACTTCTTATAAAAAATAGTGTTTCCAGATCTCTGGGTCAGCTCTCTCTGCTGTGGTTAACATCAGCATGAGAATGACTTCACTGAAGGAAATGGAATGGAAAACAAACCCTAATCCTTTAGTATTTATCAGGAACACAATCATTTTTTAAAGAATAAGCACTTTTAAATTTCACCTATTTTTACAATTTTCACAAGTCCCATGGTACATTTTGCTGGTGTGCTCTTTCCAACCTGTGCATAATGCACAGAACTGCAATGTTTTATACTGATACCCTTCCAGTAATCCAGCTATAAGTACTGTATAATGTTGTATGTCCAAGGTATTGCATTTCTAAAATATTGCTCATTGCTTGTTTTAATCAGAGCTTGACCAGATGGGGTGTCAGGCAGACTGGCACTACTTCCCATTGATTCAGTGCAGAAAAACTGTATACTACATGATTTAAAAAAAGCTTTATCAGAGGTTTCTACTGATGCTTTGATCAAGATAAATGTATTGCAGTGCTGACAAATCACTTGTTTTTACTGTACTCGACTTAACAAAGATGGCTATCATGAACTAAACTTAAAAAAAGGTATTTAATGTTTTGGCATCCGAGTGGGGACTGTAGCCAATGTTTACAGTATATAATGTACAAAAATTTAGTTATTGCAACATAAAGTTATGGAAGGTATACAAATGTAGGTAAATTAGAAGGGGCGTTACCACGTTACCTGTTTTTCGAAGTGGGAAGTCATCTTTGGGATCATACATTCCCAAAACCGGGTGATTGTAAGTGGCTGAAATCCCGGTCTGAGGCGGAGAACTCTGGTCCAAAGAGCTGTGCTGTGTTTTCCTACACCGAAAACCCACAAAAAGACACTGCTTTAACATACTACTGCCGGCACACACAGATCATGCAAAACCAGTGGTCAAAAGTTTAATGTTTTTACAGTACTGGGGAAATAGATAGTACCACCCTATAAAATAACTAGCTCATTAAACTAAGCTAAGTAAGCTGGCTAATGTCAATGCACCTGGTTTTTGTTATTTCTTTTGAGGTTTTGAGGGCAATGTAGAAAAAAAAAACAGGATATCCATAGTTACCCCCAATATCAACACCAGCTTGCAGACCTAGACAAAAGCAGCAACACAATGATAAAGCTTTCAGGACTAGAATGAAATGAAGTATTACTTTGCGCCTATTTTACTGCATCTCCCATTGAAACTGTTTTTTCATATTTCAAAGGTTGCTTTAAAGTTTTGCTAATTATACAGCAAGACCCAGTGTTATGTTACTACTTTGCAACAGGTGTATAATTAATTTCATTTATCTAGAATAAAATCACCTTAAAACAGCTTCCTTTATTTAGATCTCAGTCTCAGTAATTAATCTCAGTAATTAAATTAGAACACAGCCAACTACCACATAAATGAATAAAGTATGGGTTTGTAGGGATACTACTCAATATGAAAGGCTATCTATAAAATAAAAAGACAGAAAATTCCAAGGTGAGATACTATATACAATGTGTAATATATAATAGATAACTATATATATATAATATATGAGAGTTCATGTCAGATGTAAAGCTATTCTACATTCTTCAGCCTCAAAGGGGGAAAAACCTCTTCTCTGTAAAGGCCATACATACAGTACTGTATAATTAGCTTACCAAAACTCCTCTATGGTTTAAACTTGGGAAGTGTCCTGCATGTGCCCACTCAGGATGCAAAGGACGTTCTAATAAAACTTTCAACCATGCTTTAGATGAGAACATCAGCAAGGCATCGCCAACATGGTATTTTATACAATATATCCTCACAGTATATCTGAAGTGTAGTGATAAGTGTCGTGGTCTTAATATACTGTACAAATAACATTGACGTGAGTTTGTGATAAGATAGTGATTGATAGATTTTGCCATGATATAATCTGGAATAGAACTGTTAACAAGAGAAATTGTATGTTATAATGCTATAAGAGACTAAGTAATTTCTGCCTTTGTTTTAAATGGAACAAAAAACTCATCTGATTTGTTCAACATCTGCTAATTTGCAAACATGGCTATATGCCAAGCGTATGTTTACACTCCCATATGTATAAAGTATACATGTTTATAGTTTGATGTGTAAATTCCATTAATTTAAAAAAGGGTATATCATTCCATCAATCCTTGTGTGAGAATGGTTATCATAAAGTTACTGAAAAAGATGGAAATTGAAAGTTTTAGTTAATGAATTTAGTGGTAGCTTTCATGGGAAGGTCTATAAATACCTGTATATGGTTATAGCTTTATATTAGTGTAACTTAATTAATATAACATTATTTATGCATTATAAAAAGCTATGCTTTACTAGAATAACTCATGTTTATTTCAACATAAAGATCATTCAGAACCCTGAAAAGCATAAAAATGTTTTCATTGTAAAGAGTTCTGTTTTATTTCTAACAGTCCTTTAATATATTTTTGTATATGAAATTTAAATTTGCCCTTGTTAATGGAGTCACCCAATGAAGACATTAACAAAACAACATTTTAATGAATAAATAAGTAAAATAAATGGTTACTTAAGCAACTGTTTCTTGAAAATACTAATTCTTATTATATTATTAAGAGATTTGCACTTTTTAAATAACATTTCTGATGAAGCCATCTATTTTCATTTTATCGTCCTGGTGAACAGTGAATTTTCTATCATGTTTCCAGGTAAACAGCGGCTAGTTGTAGGTTTTTTCATGCGATTCCTATTATTTTAATTTTAAAATGTTACACGTGCAGACGTACTGTATATTGAAGTGAAGAAGGTGAAAAAGGTCAAATTTGGTAAAGCCTGCTAGCATAGGTGCATTTTTCAAGTTTTGATATCATGATGTGAATTTTGACTGATTCTTGCTACGTTCTATATTTTCTAAAGAGCTGATTAGAAACTGCAAGTCTTGCAGTCATCATCTGCACCCAGATGTGCTTGGCTTTCACCCAGATAGCCATTTGCTCAGTCAGCAGACAGTTCACAGGATCAAATTGCTGTTTGTTTGTATTGACACATTTTGCATATAATCTAGAGTTACTCACAATGGTCTTGCAGACCACCCTTTTCTGGGAGGAAGTCTGCCCTTTGTTTATAAACAACGGCAACAAAAGAGAGACTAAAACAATATGAGGTGCAAATTTAATGTAAAAACAACTGCTGTGGCTCAACTGCCATCATCCTACACCTCCTGTATTAAGATCATGTACTAGAATTTCACATCTGAGATGTGGGACTTCCCTTTTAATGTTAAGTCTTTATTATTGTTGCCCAATATATTTAATCTTATCAGTTAACCATCTTAAAACCTTGTCAGTAGTTTTATTTGTCGTATTGTAGATAACAGTGACCTGGAATTTTCACAACCATTTACAGTGGGGAACATTATTTTTCAAATGAACACACTGTATTTTACTTCTGTCAGATGAGCACTTGATAAAATGTATTTACTGGCAACATTAAAAAGTATTAAGCCGCAATTAACTTAATTTCCCCAAAGTGATGCTTTTGTTTTGAAAGCTAACTTTTATTTGGCACAAAAAACATTATATTTTTGGATTATGTGGCACGCAGTGGTATGAATAAATCTTCCCAAGCAGTTCTACAAAACTGTTCTACGAAAACAAAAGTAATGCAGTTGGTGGGAAATGATATATATTTTCATATATAGTAGGCTAATCTCAATTTAACCAATTTTGATAGTTTGGCACTAATGTTCCTTTTAATAACAAAACAACGATTGAAGAGACAATGGGCAAATTTCCTTGCTCCTTGTCCCTTTTTCTTGTAGTCTAGGCTTAAATCTAACTAGTTTAACTTCCAAAGCATAACTGGAGAGAGGCTCGTGAATGACTGGGAGGTGATCAGATACGGACAAGTGTATCCTCATTAGCATAACACAAGAAGAACTTCAGGAGTCTCATGACTCTGTATCTGACTGCCCCCAGCACCTTCATCCCTCACTGTTATCAGTAAGAACATTCACAGCTTCAACAGAAAAATGCACAACTTTACAAATGAGCGTATAAATATGAAAAAATGGTTTAACCTCTGAAAGGTTTCAGAGTGAAGGAATATTTATCTCTTTTTCACAGATATCTGAGACACAAAACGGTGCTGCAAAGAGAGACAGGAAAAGAACAGAAGAGAGGAAATGCACATCAATATTTTAATATTCATAGGTGTACTTGAAAGTAGTTTTTTCTTTTTGCTTTTTTTTCCCTCTGTGAAGAAATTTGAAAGTAGGGAAAAGTGCAGACTGCTCAGTAGCATACCTGATGAGCAGGGGGCTCCTGTGTTCTCCGGCTATTCGTATACAATGTACAGTGGCTTGCAATAGTATAATAATAATAATAATAATTGCTTACACTTATATAGCGCTTTTTCTGGACACTCCACTCAAAGCGCTTTACAGGTAATGGGGACTCCCCTCCACCACCACCAATGTGCAGCATCCACCTGGATGATGCGACGGCAGCCATAGTGCGCCAGAACGCTCACCACACATCAGCTATCAGTGGGGAGGAGAGCAGAGTAATGTAGCCAATTCATAGAGGGGGATTATTAGGAGGCCATGATTAGTAAGGGCCAATTGGAAATTTGGCCAGGACACCGGGGTTACACCCCTACTCTTTTCGAGAAGCGCCCTGGGATTTTTAATGACCACAGAGAGTCAGGACCTCGGTTTTACGTCTCATCCGAAGGACGGCGCCTGTTTACAGTATAGTGTCCCCGTCACTATACTGGGGCATTAGGACCCACATGGACCGCAGGGTGAGCGCCCCCCGCTGGCCCCACTAACACCTCTTCCAGCAGCAACCTTAGTTTTTCCCAGGAGGTCTCCCATCCAGGTACTGACCAGGCTCACACCTGCTTAGCTTCAGTAGTATTCAGACCCTTCCCATGGTGTTTAAGAAATTGCAAGGCATACATATTTTTTAAAACTTATTATTTATTTAAAATCTGAATGTTCAAACTAAGATTTATAAGGGTAAATTAGTAAATGTCAGCAAAACCTGAAGTGAAAAGAATAACATACATTGATTGCCAATGTATTAAGAACCACGACCACGATATCTAGTGGAAGCAACTTTGTCAGCAATTACAGCCACAAGTGTTACTGGGTATGTCTCTTACCAATGTACGCACTTGCTTGGTGCAGTTTTTGCCCATTCTTCTTGGCAGATTTGACCAAGCTCCTTCAATTTCCTTGAGAATCTCATAAGGATAGCAGTATTCAAGATACTATTTTTAAACTACTCCATAGAATAGCTGTGGCCTTGTGCTTTGGGTCATTGTTTTGCTGAAAACTGAATTATTCTCGCAGTTCTATGTCTGAAGCATGTTTTCCTGTAAGATTTGCCAGTACTTGGCTCCAACTGTCATAACAAGTTTCCAGTCCCTGCCTACGAGAAGAAGAACTAAAGATTAATGCTGCCACCACCATGCTTGACAGCAGGGATGGTGTTGACTGAGTGATGCATTACACTAGGGTTGTATTAGATAGAAAACTCTGCATTTAGACCAAATAAAAATTCAATTTTGTCTTATCTGACAACAAAACCTTTTGCCACACGTTTATACTATCATTTGAGTTTGAAGTTTATTTCAGTTTAATTTCAGTTTGGGGACCGAGTGGAATATTCTTAACCCATGAACAATTTCTCCCATCTCGGGCTCTGAACTTTGTAACTTTGTACCACTGGCCACACAATTGCATGCTTAACCAGGTTGTCTCCTTGCCCAGCTGCTAGGTTTGAAGGGACAGCCTTATCCAGGCAGTGTCTGATTGCCTTCGTCTTCTAAATGATTTGACTTTACCAGGCTTTAAGAGATATTAAAGGTACTGTAATTGAAATATTTTATACCCTTCACCTGTACCTTCATACAACTTTATTCATTGCTTTAAAAGCTTCTTGGTCTTCACGGTTGAATCCTTACTTGAAATGCACTGCCTGCCTGAAGGAATGTGAAATCCTATGAGCCTCTATTATTACACAGTAACAGAGGCTATTCAACTTTGTGGCTCATTAAAGTTATTTTGAGCACCTAAATTAATTTTGCCACAGAAAAGGGTTTTAACCTTTTCTTTCACATTGATAATTTAATTATTTCTATTTTTTTTAATGTGTGGAGTAGGGTATACTTCACATACAATATTCCTTCATTCTGAAGCCTTTCAATGAACTATTTTTTCAAATCTATATGCTAATTTGTTAAGGAGTATATAAGAAATATTGCTACGTCAATAATTTTCAATTGATATCAATCTAAGGTTTCTAAGCTTTCTACGTTTGTGAACCTATTAAAGAATCAAATGAAAATCGAATTGTTTGTTTAAACATGCTGTTTTGAAAGTATCTCATTTGACTATTGGATATGACTTATTTTGCAGGATAACAAAGTTATTTTGAGTTTTGCAATAACCAAACAGACTTAATTAGATTTATGTATTATAAACACTGAAACATTTATAATACACTGATTTCTGAAGATTTACAAAATGCATTATAAAGTAAACAGAAGGAGGTATAGCACATAGAAGAATAACAACAATAAGGCATAAACAATAAGGAAAAAAAAATTCCATTAACTGACAGGCTGTCCTAATCAAGTTTATATTCTGTTATACTTACCCATACCAGAAGCGGGGGTCATTTGGCATGCAGTGGTTGAGGTTTCTCTGTGCCAAAGCCTTCTTCTTGTTAAGCACAAACTCCTGGAGTCTCATCTTCACTTCTGTACTAGCCACTGCACCTGTGAACACCATTATGAGTAAGCCTTAGACATGGCTCACAGCTCATCTGCTAAGAGTGAGACACGTCTACAAAGCCTTATAACAGAGTCCAAAAACACATATAAGTAGTGAGATTTTACATATTTTAAAACACCTAACTGGCTCTCTAATACATTGTATTAAGTTCCAGTGATGTATATAGTAACATCCCAGGAACTCTCATTCCATGCGTCTGTTATCCATGATAACTATGATATAGGCATTTACTGTATATGGAAACAGGTTAAACATAAAATTATTGATAGAATCATGCAAGAACGACAAGATCTCCACAAGACTGCTGTAGAAATATATGGTTTTTAGTTAATGTTAAAGCAAGGAGGCAAGAGCAATGACATAACCACTATTTATTCAGATATTGAATCTTATCTAATCTGAATTAGAATAAGAGACATTTGTAGTCTTACGTAAATTATGTATTACAGGAAATACAGTGTCTGTCAGACACTTTTGAAGAAAATACAACCCTTCATAAAGAACTGAAATCTACTCAAATGCTCTCAAACAGGCACAGCAACAGTTCACTTTTGTTTTAATAAGAATGACATAAAAAGTGCCATTTTTCAAACAGTGTTGACGTCAATTACTACTATCTTTATTGTAAATAATTCCCTGAGGAACTAGACAAGTGCTTTGACAAGAAGGGAACAGACAGGTGTCTTTCACATGAGAAAAACTGGCAAACAAGTTTCTTACAAAACCCACAACTTAAGAGTAAATGGTTTGAGATTAAAATACATTGGTTAGTTTAAGGGAAGGTAAGAATGACTAATGTATTTTCTCCTCCTACTTTTAAAAGGAAATTTCTAAAATTCCCTCTTCTGCCCTCATTCCAGTGTGTACAGTATTTCTTGTCTTTGCTGCACTGAAGGCAGACTCAAAAGACTATTGAGACTGATCTGATCAAATGGTCCAACAGGACTCTTCTTGTTTCTCTGTGGACCTGATTTGCCTCAAAGTGCTGGAAAGTTTATGCCAACTTTTCTGCAGTTAATATTTTTGGAAGCCACATGAAAACAAAGCTCCTTAACTCATTTCCTAAGCCAGGCAGAGAAGGAGGTCTCCTGGGAAGAAAGTGCCGAGTCTGACTGAGACAGTGGCTGCCCCCTGAGAGAACACAGCTGATGGCCCTAGTCTCTTACTTTCTTGGCCACGTTCCTTGTTTTTGAGAAGCTGCAGTTTCTGCTCCCTCTGGTGTTTTTCCATCTCCTGCTCATGGCGGTGTTTCTCCATTTTGCGCTGGTGCTCCAGCAACTCCTGCTGATGCTTCAGGGCTAGCATATCCTGCTGATGCTGGGACAAATAGCAAAAATACAACAGCCCTAGGTTACTACTATTGCTTGTAGTATTAATTCAATTATTGATTATATTGTACCACAGATGTCCATCATCATATCTAAGTCATCCGATTAGGCATTACCGTACTATTTAGTTACAAGCACCAGAAGACTGCATCTGTTTTAAAGAAAACTTGAGGTAGTAGTCAACCATTATGGTTTAATATTTTTATATATTTATAACATGCTTATATTTTTTTTCTAGATTTTGCAGTGGGACTTTTCTTCACCATGCTAAGTCTTGCATTTTTGCATTAGCCTAGCACCATATCTTCATCAGCTCGCTTTTGAGTAGAGTTTTGTGATGCAACTGCACCCTCAAGTAACATTGACTTGGAACTAAAAAGACTAAAAATGTACGTTAGCAAGCTGCAATCCTGGTTTTACTCACAAATAAGCAAAAGGAGCAAATGGATTAGCTTATTTTGTAATGCATAACAAGACACATCCAAGAGCTCTCACACATGGTTTTCACCAGTAAACTATATATAGAAGAAAGGCACAGGGACATGCGAAGACTTGCATACAGTCACAGAATATTAGCTCCTGAGTTCTGCAGATCCTTCCAACTGTAATCAAAGTTTTGTTATCATTGGATTAACTGTATAAACACTTCAGTAAATGCCTAATGGATTATCAAATAACATAATCCGTCCCACCTGCACATTTATTTTCAGCTCCAAGCTATTTCCCTTACTCCAGATAATTGGTATTACAAGCAACTTATAGCTTCTCTCGTTCTCTGAGTCGTTTTGTGCCTTTTGTCCGTAAATCAGCTTCAACACCCTCCTTAAGTATTGGGACATCAAAGTCAAAACTCCTATTTTTGCTTTACACTCAAGTAGTTTTTATTCCTGAAAGTATTAATATTGGGAAGTACAATATAATACATGCTTTAATTTTGGGTAATTCCATGTGTAGATTTTGATCATTAAATCAGCCCAGAGATTTCTAGTGACCATACCTATTGGAAAACATTCAATTTAAGTACATTACAGAAAGCTGATGTCAGTATTTGGTTGAATACCACTTTAAAACATAGCAGTGAAATACTGTATGTAACAAATAGTATTGTTCTAACACACTAATTATGGGAATTGTAGAAGACTGCAAATTAAATTAGGCCTTTATATTGATGCATTTCTAGTGCTATAACGCAGCACTAGAACAGTTTACCCAGTACACTGTCTCAGATGGCCCGACTTCCCTAGTCCTACACATTTTAGAGATTACAGCAACATCACTCATTCCTTGAACATTTTCACTTATGGAACAACAGAGATCTGCTGTTTCTCCTAGCTCCAATCTATAGAGGCAGGCTGAGCTCAAGCACACATCACCAGAGAATGGTACAGATTAACGGCAGGTCAAGATAAATGCCAGTGTGTGCTGAACAGCATAACCGATCTATTACCAAAGCCACAGGTAAATTACTTACAACTCTGTAAGCTGCATTAAAGCACAGCATGTTTAAATAACAGGATCACTTAAGTCAATACACTGATACAACTATGTGTAGAGCTGGTTCAGAACAGAACCTTTTAGCACTGAATGTTCTTTAACCCTTTCATTGAAAAAAAAAATTCTCCATGTTTCAAAAGGTTCATCTGCTATTTCGGTGCCTTTTAAAGTCTTAGGATCAACAATCAATCAATTCCAAAAGTAATGTTTTCTGAATTTTACAATATATATATAACATATTGATCATAATTGAGCACAACATTGTAAATTGTGTCTTAATGCATTGTAAAATTTTCATATCCCTAGATTTAAATTTTAGATTATATATCCTAACATTCTATTCGCCTTTTTCTCACATGGTCTAAGATAAATAAAATGTGTTAACACAAACACCTAAGTCTTTTACATGAGTAACTTCTTCAGATGAAAGATGAAAACCCAGTGTTTCTCATCCTGTAGTTTAGGTTTTTGCTACCTGTTACCTGAAACTAAAATTCAGCATCTGTGTACATTAAAAGTCATCTGCCACGCATTTGCCAAGTTGTGAATTATAAAGCTTTTCAGATTTTTTGCTGAATGACCTATTGTGGCACCATCTGTCAACTTGACTAGAATCTAAATCACTGATATAAATTAGAAAGATAACACATTATATAACTCCAATTTTAGCATTCACCCTTTATCAGTACTCTGTTTTCTATCCAATAACCAGTTCTTAATCTGCAAGCATTGCCCTGAATTTCTACAATTTGAGAATTAATCTTTTATGACAAATGTTATCAAAAGTGATAACATGATTTAAAAGTGAAAACTAAATATACCATATGACACTCTGCATACAGTGCACCACTGCTGTTTAACTTTAACAAGTTAGGTAAGACTTTTCTATTCTATATACAGTATGCATGTCATTGTTTTTCCCATGAATTGTTCCAGTTATTAGTAATGAAACACTTTAAAACTTGAATATCTATGTAAAGCATCTAAAAGATACTACAGTAGAAAAATCAAAGCATTAACCCACAAACTCATTGAATATGATATTAAAGTAAGAAATAGCTTTTTCTTACAGGCACGGGCAAAGAGAATATACTGTACCTGTGTCAGTACAAGAAAATAAAGAAAGAACTTGTATTAGTAGGCACACTACACACTGACCAAAGAAATGGAGATGTGGAGCCTTAACTTATTTAAATGCAAGTTTAAATAAGATAAACACACATTTTCATAGTGATGACAGATTAACATAATAAAACAGGCTACATTTGTTCCTAATGTGTATTTATTGTTATCAGAGCAAAAGGAAGGGAAACATTTTGAAGATGGACTTGCTTAAAAGGTCCCTTGTCAGATGTGAGCTTTCTTAATTTTCCAGACATATAAAAATCTACTGATTAGAGATGTGTCATTTTTTCATATTAAATCATGTGGATATTTAAGAAGGAATCATTTCTGCCATGATGTTAAGATAAAAATCAAAGGACATGAAGTTATGGTTCTTTTCCAAATAACTGTCACGGACGTCCAAAGGGACTAACCGTGGGGAGCAGGAGAGCGGAAAAAGACCCATATGCGTAGCGGTGAGACGGGAAAAAGGCCCGGGCTCATTAGTGCAAAGAGTTCAGGAATGCCGTATAGAAACCTATGCCCTCAGGGAGCGGACGTGGGGCGCCCTGGTGCTAGGCGGGTCTCAGGACATCCGAACATCAATGCTGAGCGAGGACAGAGTGCAAGACCCGGAAATATATAGCCAAGGGAAAGAGAGGGACAGGAAGGACAGCAGACCGGAAACTAGGGACAGGACAGAGAAGGAGCGCCCTCTGGCTGCAGAAGGCGTGACAATAACTCTAAATTGTAAATCTTTCAATGTTCATTTCTTCTAAATTGGCAATAAGATCAAGCTAGGTATTCATACCAAAACTGAAAATGTGCAGAAGTTTAACATTCCTCTGTAGACTGAATGCAATAATTCTAGGTTTACTTTGTCATCATTGCACACGTCATTCACAGAAATAAGAGTAAGCCGTTATATATTGTTGACTTGCAAGACATAAGGAGATAGACATAAGTAACATTTTTTTTTCTTGTAGGAAACATCAACACTACAGTACATCCACAGATTTCTTTGACTCAAATAAAAACTTTCAGTATTCAAATTCACCTGAGGTTTCAACTCTTAATCGGTGTTAAGAAACTTTGGTTATTTTTTATTACTATGTACAGGAAGTGAATTAAAAAAACAACAATGTAAAAGTTCCTTATAAGGGTGCTGGACCACCATGTGTGGCCAGTATAGCCTGTACAGTATGTGCCATAGCATAGAGTCTACCACTGTCCGAAATTCTGTAGCAGGGAATTCTTACACAAGAAAGTGTAAAAGGCTGTCTCACATGTTTTTCCACAAACATCCCATATCTTTTTCACTGGGTTCATATCTGGTGAATGGGTATGACATGAAATATGGATAACATCAGTGCAATTCTCATCAGTACATTGGGTGACATCTCATGCTCTTTGGATGAAGTCAACCTTGAAGGCAGAAAAGATACACTGCAGCATGGGGTGAAGATGATCATTCAGGACCAATTTGCAGCATTGACCTTCCTTTCTAAGGGAATGAGTGCACCCAAACCTTGCCCATCACTGTTGGAACCAAACACTCAGGGCTGTAGAGTTCTTCAGACTGGTGACACACGTGCACCATGCATGATGAAGGATGATTCATCCGACCATGTCACATTTACCTTTTGCTCAGTAGGACTCACAAATCTGCACTGCCGGGTGTGATGACCGGTTTGTGCACTGCGACCCGATTACGGTAGCCCAATCTGTGGAACTCTGGGTGCACTGTTTTTTGAGAAATAAACTGCTTGCAACTCAGCAACCAATTTAAATTCTAATTATTGGCAACCAGATCTGTCCAGGAGTTTTCTAGATGAGCATGCTGAAATATTATTTGTTTAATTAGTGCATGAGCCATAACTGTGTGGAAGCCTTTACTTTCAATATGCTTGGTGTACTCATTTAAGATGGGGTTTCCATTTGTTGTCCACTACCTCCGACAACTTTGGCACCACAATGTTTTAAGTGGTATAGCATGATAAATGTTCAAAGCAAAGTGACAGAAATAAAATATTTATTAAATTAAATATTATGCAGTTTTCAGAAAAACTAACTCAGAAATACAATTATGAAGAACTATGGCTTATACTATTATTATAAACTCAAGCTACTACAGCCAATGTTATAGGATGTAGAATGTGTGTATCTTCAGAACATATCTAAAGCACTATAATACTTCCTCGTAATAATACTTTCCAGGTAGCAAAACTACAATCCACTAGCATTGCACAGTACAGTAGCATAACTTGTACACACTGTTTTGTCAAAGAAAAGGTACAAAATATGAAGATGAAATGCCTGATAAATACCTTTTTGAAAATCATTACTTTTTTTCTTGAAGGAGGATTAGGCACCATATCAATTCGGCAGCAGCACTGTTTTTAGGTGTACGTCTTGGCTGTATCTTAATTTCTACTTAAAGTAGCTGAAGGGGGTTAACAAATGGTCAATCTACTGTTGATCAGAGAAAAGAACATAAGAAAGAGAAGAGACCATTCGGCCCAACCAGCCAATCCAATAGTTAGCAGGTATGATCCAAATATCTCCTCCTTTCCTAAAAGAAGATATGACTTCCACAACACGAGTGGGTAAAACCCCCTAACCATTTTATCCAGTATAGGGCTGTGGGGGAGCCGAAGTCTGTCCTGGCAAGCCTCCCACAATGCACTGGTTCTAAATGCACTTCCAGTATATTTGCAGTGCAGTTTCTACTTGTGCCCTCTGGTTTGTTGTTTTAGCACGTTCTTTCAACCTTACTTGCCTTAATTTATGATATAGAAATACACATTCAGATGTAAATATCTTTATCATTATGAGTGTCAATAATTTTTAAATATTTACTCCATCTTAATTCAGGATTTCTGATGGAAAATTTTTTTAAGATTTAACAAACGAATACAAATCAATCAATAATCAATTAAAAAAAATATTAGCTATAAGATCACTTTATTGGCCATATACAAGTTCTTGTATTAGGAATTTGTCTTTTTGCATACCCCAACTTGTTCTCCACGAGACACACAGGCACACAGATGGGGAGAGAGAAGCTTGGGGTCAGAGCACAGGATCAGTCATTTATACAGCACCGCTGGAGCAGTTGGGGTTAAAGGCCTTGCTCAGGGGCAAGGTGGCAACCTTCCAGCCACAGGCACAGATCCTTAGCCAAAGAGCCACCACACCGCTCCTTGGTAACTCCGTATTTAGTCTATTTAATTTCCACCTTACCATAAAAAATTGTGCAGGTCAACTTTGATCTAATAGTAGATTCATTCATAACCATAATTACCCATATCCAAATTTAAGTTCTGCTTTTAAATTTAATGAAACCATGCTAACATAATTACTACAAACACAAATTGCCTAACTATCTTGATAAGAAGAAGCTGATTGCCTTCTGACTCCTGTTTTCATGTATTACAGGGCTGTCTTTTGTGCTCACAAAAGCTTTGAAATGTCCCTGTACATGTTTGAGGATGAACAGTGGCATTATGTCACAGCATCCTAAATTATTAAATGCAGACTTGCATAAAAACTTACAGTGCATGCCTTGGGTCAGACAAACCAAGACTGTCACTATTGTAACACTTTGCAATATTTTAATATGTTGCCGTGACAAAGACATTAAGTCTTAACAGCAAGCAAATAGTGTGAATCCAACATTTTATCAACAAAAACATTGTTTTGATACCCTTTGAAATGTACCTAATCCAAAGCCTAGACTGATCCCTAGCCTCTTTTTTTTTTTCAAGCGAAGGAGTAACAAACTAATACAGAACATACCCACCTACCCCCAGCTGCTTGATTTTTTTTTTAAATCGCTGAGTCATACAGTTCAAGTGTTCTCTTATTGGAAAAGAAAAGGAAAAGCAAAATCCAATATCCTTTCCTGTGTTTGTCAGTGAAGTGTCACAGCAGAACACACAGGGAGCTCTGCTTCATTCACACATAGCTGCTACAAAAGGGCACTAGTGACATTGATTACTTCTTTCAGAAGGCCTATTTTTAGAGTAAAACACACCGCTGCCATGCTTATTTCTTTTTTTTTGGATCACATTCTAACAGAATGAGAAGTCTCTCGAGTCCTCCTGTAAAATCCCACGGTGTTTCCTAAGGGCAGAATTTCTAATGTAATCTTCTTCTCTGAGTGCTGCTATTAGTTTTGGTCATGCAGACCAGCTTGACTGTCATGTTTCTTATGAAAGCATCTGCCTAACAAGTTGTGCAGCAAACTAATGCAAATAGATTTCAACAGATGCTTGTCAAAGCAACAGCAACACTTGATCTTGAAAAGGAAGTAGGATTCACAAGGTATAAAGTATTATGTGATGCTTATCATGTGTGTGCCCAGTGTCTAAGATTGGAGATTTCATCACCAAGTACAGTAAGTGAGTCCTTGTCTCTTTCCACTACCTCCAAAGCTTTTCAAGACCCTTACAAAGAATCAAATGAATGTGTTGCCTAGGTATTAAAAAATAATATTAAAGATTTAGCTTTTAAAATTTCTACACATACATATTCTCATGCTGAAAATATTGCTTCTCCATCTTTGCTGCAATATAATTGCATTCTTCATTATTTTATGATTTAATTTGGATAAAGTAATTACGCATACTTAACCATAGCATTTAAAAACAAAATACTCTACAATGTCCTTGTTTTAAAAACTTCAACTTTCCAGAAGCTGATGGAAGCTGCTCAATCTATGCAAATATTGAAATCTTCAGGTATTTACTGTAAACAGCTTGGAATAAGATTATCCCTTTGATATTAAATTGAATATTATTTTCACTGTAAACTTGCTTATTTTTGCATTTAAACAGTATCTATAATAACCCCATGGTTTTCAAATCTCTTTAGTTTTGATGTACAGTTATAATATATACTGTATATACAGTAGCTTAGTTCCTCACATTCCATATTTATGACAGCAAGTAAATTACTTATTTATTAGTGATTTCTCTGGATGTAAAAAAAAAAGAAAAATCACAATGCTTTTGAATTCCACAAGTATCAGATTTTCCAAATCACTGTTCAAATTCTTTAAGTTTAGAAAATAATTCCTGTGATGTTTTCAAGAAAATCAAACCACCTACACTGATTAGATGGTCTTGTTTACTGGTCATATTAAATGATAGGTTCTCCATTTAAAAATACCACAAGTTTCATTCTGAGTCGCAATCAAACAAGACTTTGGATGACAACATGTAAAGCTCCTTAAGAGTTACAGTGGTTGGCTTTACCTAATTTTAAATATTATAACTGGACTTAAAATATCAGGTCTCACTCAGTCATTTGGGCATGGGACATGGGGCAGAGAACTAGACAGCTTAGACAGTAGTCCTGTTTGTGGCACAATTTGGGGAAATATTTTTGCTTCTTTAAAAAATTCAGCATTGATCCTTTTTCAGGTAGTACAATGGCTCCTATTTACGTATGTTTTGAAAATGCTTTGTGATAAATAAACACCTCTGACTTTCTGTAACTAGCATATTATCACTTCTAACTTCTAACTGTGATCCTGTTCAACTAATTTCCATGTGCTATATCCTTTACTTGCAGGTCTCACTAAACTACAGCTAAACATTTGCAGGACTGGGTAGAGACATAGGTCTCTAACTCATACTTGGTTGCATTCATTTACAAAAATTGTCCTCACAGAAATACATACAGCTAAACTTTGATGTGATAGGCCATAAACTGTGCCAACCTAGGCAGAGGCATTTTTAACCTAGAAAATGTTTTATTAGCCACCTTCCCTTCTTCTTCTGTTTTCAGGACCTCCATTAATGTTAATTTGTTTTGTATTTGTGATAATGTCTGATACGTTCTAAAATGTTAATCAAAACAATTCAAAACATAAAGTACCCTTTTGCCGCTTCGGGTTATATGCCACCTTGTGCCTGTTGCTTGCTGGTACAGATTCCGGCTTCCTCACAACCGTGAATTTGATGAAGTGGACACAAGATGGATGGAAAAAAATAAAGTGTACTGAGGTTGGATGTAAAGTACTGTCACCAGGAAAAGAAGACTGAAAATGATCAGATGGAGGAATACAAGTGGGAACCACAAAGGAAGGGAGACCAGCCTTTATGGTGCCTATATCTAAAGAAAGCCTAAAGTTTCACTGAACCCATTATGTGTCAATCTCTGAAATTAACATGAAAATGGTCACATTCATGTAGAGTCCATGATTAACCTTCTGAAAGAAGCAGTAATTTTGAAACAATTTAGATACAGAAAACCTAAGAGAAGGAAGTCTTTCCTTGGAGCAGATGTCTGTCTACTGCATGGAAAGCTCTGTCTCAAATATCTGCCCATCCTTTAAACTAGTAGTGAAGTTCACTACTTTAAACTGGACTGTAGAAGCAATGTAAATTTCCTGGCATGGAACAGCCAAGAGACGAGTAACTTCTCCATGGTAACATGGTTCAGTAATACAGCTTCTATCAAAACAGAAGTGCTATGACACATATCATTGTACAAGTTATGTACATAGCAGGGCACTGGAATTTTTATGAATAACCTATCTTTCCTATGTATGTATTCAAATGCAATCACTCCCAAACAAAATCACACAGTTATTGTAACCCTTACTTTTTTGGTGGTTCCAGTCTACCTGCCTTTAAAGCTGTAATCAACTACCATTACAAACAAACAAATCAATCAATATTTTGAAGAGTATTTTACAGAATTATAAACTGTAGGCACAATTACTGTATTGGTAGCTGTACAATATGATTTGTTTTCATCTGTCAACATCAGAAAGGGTCACTCAAGCTACAGAGTGAAAATTAATTCAGCTAAATTAAAAGCTTTCTCCAGGTCATGACTTAAGAAGGTCCATGGACTCAAGCTCTATTAGAAACAAGCAGTAATTTCATAGAACCGCTCATATTTGTTTATTGTCTCACTGTCTACGCAGCTCTGCCTTTAAAAGTTAAGAATTTCTCAATACAAGCTTAACCCATAAGACTGTTGACATAATTCTATGATGGTCTGAGGGACTGCAATGCTGTTGATTTAGTACAAATCGGGAACATTTCGACAAAATGAAATACAAGCAGAGGTCAGTAAGTAGGGGAATTAAAGGTTAAGAAATACCTTGACATGCTCTTGGAGCTGGGCCTCATGCTGGCGAGAGAGCTGCTCGTGCTGTCGCTGGAACTCGGCGATGAGGAGCTGCCTCTGGATCTGCTGCTTCTGCTTGAGCGCAATGAGCTCCTGCTGCAGCTGCTGCTCCCGCAGGCTCGGGTCAGCAGAGGCAAGGGAGAACTGGTGATCCACCCGCAGGTCCATGGGAATTGCAGTTGGGGAAACTTGCAGAGGCAGTGCTGCGCTCACATCAACTGCAGAAGGACGGAGAGAAAAGACCCATGAAACACAGGCATACATGACAGCAGCAGCAACATCTTCCACATAGGCTTTGGGATTGGTAGGATTACCCAGAGGAGTACTGTTAGCAGATCAGGGCTCTTTGTTAGCATTTAATGTGTTCAGAGATCACATGCAACGACAGATAAAACAAGGAGATTCAACACAGTGCACTACAAAAAAAAAACCACAAGCCAAAGTTGGAACCATTAAATAAGCATAATGGTTTAGACATGAACAAGCAACATTATTGGTAAATGAAGTTTCCAGAGTTTCTGATTGTTACACTAAATAATCATTAGTATCTCTTCAGTAATCACTGGACCAGACTGTCTTTGTGTAAAAGATTTTCCATTACTGTTTTGTACAGTTTTACAAACTGCTTTTTTACTGTATTCTGGCATTATTATTTGCAAAATATCCTTCATTTTATCCCTGTATTGATAATATGTCATGAAAATCTCAGTCCATTCTGACTGAAATCCTAATAAAACAACATACAAGAACAATTAAAAAATTATATTACTAAACCTTCTTGCTTTTGTTATCGAACACATAAAGCATCAGAAACACACTGTGCTAAGCAAATCCTGTGCTTAGACTCCAAAACCACACATCATTTGTCCAGCAGGCAGGAGCAGGATCTGGTTAGTTGTTCTAAATGTTCCTACCATAGCAATAAAAGGTACATTACGTTTGCTATTCCCATTACTGCCCAGCTTGAAGATAACCCACATAGCCTCCAGAGGAAAGAAAAATCAATCTGAGAATCACAGCCATGCTAAATTGACCTCCGACCAAAAGCTGAACTGGTAACCTCAAGGTCCAAAGGGATCCACTGTATGGGAAACCACTGTACCACTTGGTTTGAAACATCCAGTTCCATTGCTATCTTAAACAGCAAGCTGAGAGCTTTTGATTATCATTGGGAGTGCTGCACGAAAAAGAAAGTAACCACCACGCTTTCTCAAAGGAAAGCATTTCCAATAAGCATTTTTGGTTTTATGTAGCTTGTAATTCAGGCTAAGTTGAAATAAAGGAAATCAGGCAGGTTGCTAAATGTGAGTAAATGAAAATCTTCAGCTTTTAGAGAAACACCCAAATGGGTCAGGAAAGTACCATTTGCTTACTTCGGTGAAACTGCAAATCATTTTAAAAACCACTGGGACAAACTACAGTACAGGCTTCATACAAAACGTTTCAGCTGAAGAGTAGAAAGAACAGAGCTGAATATGAGCTGAAGTCATTTCTGACACTGAACCTAGAAAACACATTCAAAGTGAAATAAAGGCATGGAAATGAACCAGTCCTACTGACCGGAAATGACTGAATGAAGTGTTATTCATTGAAAATATCACAGTTAAATAAAAGGAATGATTAGCACCATAAGAGATTCTGAGACAATGCCCACCTTGACATTGAACACAATGTGACTATCTGCATTTCATGAACCTACTTACAAATGCTTTATATATTAATGTAACTGACTGGTCTTTCAACTGACATCTTACATTAAGCTTGTGTTTTAAACAAAAATCATAGTGCTTCTTCCCAATGATCTGCTGGTCTTCGTTTGCCAGAGTTTCATATCTACATCTTGATTAAGTACAGAGTGTTATTCATTTGTTGTGCATCTGAGATTTTCATCACCTGTTAAAGTTCACATTAAAGTCAGGTTTATACTGTATATCATAACAGAGCACAGCACAAAATGTTTATACAGTAATAATATGAATGATACAGAATGATAGTCATAAAATTGAAAATAAATATTCTCATCTTAATTACATGTTTGTAGTCACAGTGGGGCATATCAGAAGATAACAGCTCTTCATTTAAGATAATAAAAGCTGCTTTAAGTAAACTCAGATTGATCAGAACAAATAAAAAGGGTAAAAAGAGCTGCATCTTTAGTTTAACTGATAAATGGCATCATTTACTGTATAATAGCAGTATTATAGGATTTTATGACTGGGGGGTATCACTTCTTTCATTCTTATGCAGAAACAAATTAGCACTATTGACTGTTACCAGGCACCTGTAGAAAAACATCTCCTGACAGCCCTGTAAGTTCACAGAGAGAGTAAAAGACAGGGGTGGTACAGTATTACATGTAAGTGGTGTCCAAATGGGCAAACCTGTAAAAATAAAATAAATACTAAAGAATTTGAGGAGAGAAAAAAGGGAGATCCCTGGATACATTCTCCTGTTTTTTCTTTTACACCTCAGATGTGGGGCATGACCTTCTGCTGTGCTTTTTCTGAGGAATACTAAACAGGACAAAGTAGACCTGTGTCACCAAGTGAGCCCTGAGGGAAGCCGTGTCTTTTGACATCATTACTGGCCACAGCCTCCAGAACGTTTGATTTTATGTGAATGTGCACCGGTTCACAAAGAGACTCATCATGCAGGGCATAGTACAATTGAGGAAAAACACTGTCGACATTCATAGCTTTTACCCCTTCTGGTGCGTCAAACGTGACTCCCAATGCTATTTTTCTTCAAATGCCACAAGTTCAAGCTAGAAGCAGAAAACTACTGTTAACCTAAAGTGCACCATATGAAACAAAAGGTCCTAACAAACAGTCTTTTACAGCTTAAAGGCCTGTATTGCATGAATATTTTATTTTCTGAATAGAAAACTCTTTTCATAGACCCTGTCTTGATAACTTAATAAAATCATATTCATGACGCAAACCAAATTCACAAAGAGAGCATTGAAGCCCATGGATGGAAACGTATTGCCTGGGACAAGGCCGCCCAGGGATTTCTGGAAAGGAAGTCTTCTAAATTAGCTGTTTCCTTAAGATTTACTTGAAATAAATAACAGTGACAGTGAATTGTTTATTTATGTACAACCAACAACAGTAAAAAAAAGTAAGATACGTTTGCTGTGAACTTTGTCTAAATTATGAGGCAAAAAAACAGAGGCACCACACAAGTTACATGTTCCACTGAGAAATAAGAAGCATCATACAAGTCTATTTATTTAAATCATAAAACAAAATGAAGTCTTTGATTCTATCCAATTTTTTCTTCTCATTAGGAGATGGAATCCACAAGCAATGTTTTTGGGGGTTTAAATCAATTTGTCAAGTCTAATCCAAAAATGACGAAACCAACAGTTGTTGTATCAGCACTTTTAGCATCTATTTTCATACAACAACACACCTGAAATTTTTCCTTTGCAAAGCTGTCATTTTTATCTACAACAACCATTTCTCACATGTAGACATGTAGTAAAGAAACTTACCTTACCAATATAATAAAAACATTCTTTTGTAGCAATTGCTCCAAAAATAGATTTAATGCTAAATATGCTCAAAGTAAGAATAGAAAAGATGTCAAATGTGTGGCAAAACTGGTATAAAGTGGCTATAGTGCAATAAAGATCACAGCAACACTTAAACTAAAGTAAAATAATATCACCTACTTTGAGTACAATCCATTACTTCACAGCCATAATGAAATATATCCCGTCAGTGACCACACTGACAAAGAATTCAAAGAATTCAAAGGTGCAAAGAATTCCACCAATTCATGCTTAGGTTTTCAGGATTCAACAGTAAGCAACAGACAGCACTAGAGCGATCATGATGACACCCAGTTTTACCCAGAAATGTCAATATCCTTTCACTTCATCCTAGCTTTACTCAGTTAAAGTTTAAAAAGCGTGAACATGGCTTTAATGAAACTCAGCTCTGACCAAACCCTTAACTGAAGAATATTCAATAGCATTCCAATTATTAAAGTAACCCAGACTTCTTGTACAAGGATGACATCTAGCAGACATACAAGGGAGATTTTAAGCAACTAAGAAACTGGACAGAAAAACATTTTTTTTTAGTTTCAAACATATTTAGCTTGATTTTTTTTTCCAGTAATGCCACAATGAAAAACACAGTATTCTAAGTAATTTTGTAACTGAATACATTTTCCCAAAACTGATTTGCTCATGTGAAACACACCTCATTTTTGTTGTATGCAGATACATGGATGAGCTGAAATATATGACAATAAAAATAATTTAAGTTCATACAGATGCTGCACATACATTAACAGAATAACTGGTGGCCTTTAAAGACTTCAGCAATACATAATGATTACACAGAACCAGAGAGGGAACACGCCAAGCCAAGTGTTCTCAGCTTCAGCGCTCACCACTTTAATTGGTATGTAATTTAACAAGACAGGAATCCATCCCTGAACAGGATCTGTTGATGTGTATGTCTGTTTAACCATATACAGAACAAAAGATCATTACTTTAGGTCACTAAAAAGAAAATGAAAAATAATTTTTTAAAATGTTGTTTTTTTACATGACAAATTTACATTTTTATTCAGTCAAAATTTGCTTCTGCATCTGTTGCTCCCTCCATATTTAGCACCACAGATTGATGATAGCTGCATCAACAGCCTGATACAGTAGCTGCCCTTTTTAAGTCTTTCTATCTTTGCTGTAGCCACGACACTGGAATCCCACATACATTTTCTGTGCATGAGATGATAGCTATTTACTTAGATATCAAAACCATTACTGCATTTACTGTGTACAAAACTAAAAACTGCTAAGTATGCTACAACTTTTCCGTGGAAGGAATATGAAAGGAAAACAGCACATTACATATTAATTCCTTTTAGCCTCCCAAATCTTGTTCTATCCAGAAGCAAGTAGTACTACTCTATCGCTCAACATGACATCTGCATACATACTGAAACTGGGATTAAAAAATAAAGGTGGAGAAGCTGATTTGCTGGAAAGAAAAATTGAAGCTAGAATTTGTTTTTGCCTGGTTTGAAGGGGTCTTCTTCTAGAGTGGAGTTTCAAAGAGGGGTATAGGGAAAATCAATAGAAGTGTGGGCACAGCAGTGAAAGAGCCAGAGACAGCCCGGCACAGGAGATTTTCAGCATACAGTGTAACTCTATATTCCCAGTAGAGTAGTGAAAGAACAGTGCAAGTCTGAGAGAAAGAGG